GGATATGAACTATATTGTTCTTTAAAAAATGAATTGAAATCATTAATGGTTGAATATTTATTATTAAAAAGTTACCTGATTCGCTTTATTTAGCTGCTTTTTCAAACCAGAGAAAGACATGCTGTTATGGATTGCCGTTAATTTCAGATACACGATTCGATAATCTAAATACAGATATCATGAGAACCTGTGGAAAAAATGGAAAAATTATTTAAACACTTCTCGCTAATGAAATTATTTTTCTAAAATGAAATTTTTACCATCCATATAATATCTGAAATGATAACACGAATTAAAAAATATTTAAGCTTTTGAATTCGGTAGATCTAGAATGAAAATTTAACACGACATGAATCCTATTTGCGGAAGACATGAGATTTTTGAAATATTGAACATCTGGGTAACAAACTATCGACCATATTCAGTTTTGGGTTGTGGCATGAACGGGAGATTGAAATTGCAGTATTCTTTTGATGAAGTTGATAGGAGATGGAGATTGAGGTAAGAATTCTGAAGCAGCATCAATAGCTATTGAACCGACTCTCAATAGAGAGATAAGAATAGCAAGGGAACTATCTAAACAAGGCCCACTACTTCCTCTACATTCTTCCCTTTTTTATCATTACTGTGTATTTTTATTTGTATATTGGTTCAGAATGGAAACCAGTTTTATGCCTAAATTCGTGATAAGTATACAATTTTGCTGTGAGCACCAAAAACTCTTTCTAATTATTAGCTATTCTGCAATAACCATTTCCACCAGACAATACGTCTCAGTAAAAAACTGTCGCAGCGAAAAATATGGTACATAAGATTAATGTGTGTATAAAAATAGTGAAAGAACACAATTTCAGTTTGTTAATCTGTTGTAATTCTCTAAGAGAACCTGATGAAACCTTGCAGGTTACCAAGTTGCTTAACACACTAAAAAAATATCAAGCTGCCCTGAAGTTCAATGAAAGACTAAACGAGGAAGTACTAGCAATCTCTGACCAATCACGACGTAACAATAACAGGTCACAGGCTCCATTCATACTAACTCTCTTCCAACCACAAAAGCGGACAACAGGAACAGAAATTAATGACAATGCTTACATCACAAGTATTCTTTTATTTTGTTTTCAATTTTTGTGTTAGCAAAAAATCCATTATATTAAGAACTTTTATAGGGAACTACATAGCATATCGAAAAAAAATAAATAAATGTAATGAATGAGAAAGAACCAGTGCGAAAGTTTAATGTTGCGATACAATGCAAAGAAAGTTGTCCCAATAGTGAAATAATTTCTAAGTTTAATTTGCCACATTTATTGTATCATTCATGGAGAGGTAAAGTTTAAGTTAAAAAGTATGAAGAATAGTGAAATTTTGAGGAGTGTTTGATATGAAATGAGAGCTAAACTCGGTTCTCTTCGCTGTATTGACTTTACTAAAAACTTGGAAATAAGATCTCATTGTGATTTTTGATGATTAAATTCCCATTTTCTCATTATTTTAGAGCAAATTCTGTCCAAAGAAAAAAGAAAATCCAAAAAAAAAATTCAACAGCAAGATATTATAAAGACACAAGACAACAAAGTGAAAAAAAGGAACCAGTGTAATTTTGGGAAGAAGCATATATAAAGTACGATTCAAAATCATAACAGACATGCCTAAGACGATGAGAAAAGGCGATGAGGACTCCTGAGTTCAAGTAATGATCAATAACTTGAGTCTTCCTCTATATCTATGTGTGTATATCTGTGTATGTGCGTGTATATATA